ATTTGTTAGTGTTTACAGGATCCAACCCACTATTCACCATCTGTTTTCCCTGCTGGGAGGCTCAGAGCGGCAGTGATTAGAAGTATGTACAAGTTTTGGAGTTAGGTAGACATCTTGCTTCCCAGCTCCATTTATTAGCTCTGTGACTTTGGGTAAGTCACTCAACCTCTCTGAGTCTGTTTCCTCATCCATTCAATAACTACCATACAATAAAGCCTATTATGTGTTGGCATGAGCACTGCAGAGGTAACACTGGTCTCAGGAAGACTTACTAGGGAAGCCTTGGGGAAACACTCCCGGTACGCAGGACCACAGATGTGACAAGGATGACAGTGAAGTGTGCAGGGAGCTGTGAGCAAGTAGGGCCTATAAACTGTGGCAACCCTGAGATCCCACTCTGGGAGTGGGTTTGCAGCTGAGCATAAAAGGACAAACAGAATCAGCAAGTGAGGAGAAGCTGGGGTCAGTGATACCCATGCCCCACAAAGAGCTTGGAGAAACCTTACCTAGAATCCATCCCATGTCCTTTTCCATTGCCTGTTGCATGCCTACCTAGAGGCCACACAGTCTAGCTCTTTTCTCCAGCCCGCTACTTCTCCTGGACTCAGCAAAAGACCCTACCCCCATCCACCTCTTGGCAGAGACCTGTTCTTACAAAAGCCCAGTGGTTCTCTCACTTGTCTGAGATAGTGCAGGTTATCCTCTTGTTGTGGTTTATATCTAGATGTCCCTCCAAAGCCCCATGCACTCAGATGGGGTTTGGGGAGGTGGTTGGATCATGCGGGCATGAGACTCATTGGTGGATTAGTCCACTCATGAGTTTCAAGCTGAATGTGGTGTTGGGAGGTGAAGCCTGGTCAGAGGTGGTGGGCCACTGGGGGTGTGGCCTGGGAGGGTCTCTCTCCCCCCATCTCTCTTGATCTTTCTCTCTGCGTCCCACCACCTTGCCATGAGCTCTTTCTCCTCTGTGATGCCCCTCTGCCAGGCCGCCCTGCCTTGGAGCCAGCCTACTACAGACTGAAACCGCTACAAACTGTGAGCTGAAATAAATCTTTTCTCCTTTAATTTGTGGGTATCAGGTATTGTGTCTCAGCAACGAGACAGTAACTAAGTAACTAAAACACTCCTCTATGCAGTATGCCTTTCTTTGCAACTCCTCTACCTTTTCTGGAGGGTCCCTCCTTCCTCTCTGTCCTATCGGGCCTCTTATGTGGGCATCACACTGGACTCCCCTGGACTGGGCTCAGGGCCAGCCTGTCTCTCTGCCAGGCTTGATTTTCAGAAAGACCCAGTGTCCCTCTCCTATCTATCCATCCAACTCCTCTTCACCCTCAGGACCATGTTCAACAGTCTCCACTTCACTGAAGCTTGTCTTGCTCTCTCCACCCCAGAAGGGCCAGCTTCTCTCCTCCATGCCAACCCAGTATGATTCATTTATGAGCCACACATACATCTCACACCATCCACTGTCCAGTGTCTAGGGATCTCTCTCCCCCAAAAGGTGGTATGTTTCTGGAGCAAGAACCTAGTTTTGTTCATAGCTGAATATTTTGGACTTCATACTTAATGAATGCTTAATAAAGATTTACTCAAAGAATGAATGAAAGAAGAATAGTGACTATTTTACTTTTCTTTGATGTTCCCTCTCTGTAATGAAATGCACTTTGGTTATCCCTCCTAGATATCCCACAGGAGTCCCAAGCTCAGTCACGCCACCATCTTTCCCACCCACATCGGCCCCTCTCACAGTCTCTTTCTTGAGGCATTATCCGGCTCTTCCTCACCCAGGCCCCAAATATTTGATGCATATTTCTTTCTTTCTTTTCTGCAGTGCTGGGGATGGAGCCCAGGACCTCACAAATGCTAGGCAAATGCTCTACTCTTGCCTTATCCCAGCCCAGCCCCAGATTTTGGAGTTCCCTCTCCCATTCTGCCCCAGCCCTTAACTAATTATTTCATTAAAAGAATGAGGAAGCTGAGACTCATACAAGTCACTGGCAGGAGCCTTGGTCTTAACAGTCCAGACTTCTCCTTCCCTTACAGATTCTGGGACATTTATGTCTTAGTTCAGGCTGTTTCTTCTACCCAGAAGAACAATTTTTCCCATTTTCCTTCACATATAGAAGCCCCTTCCTCCAGGAAGCCTTTCTTGGTCCACTGGAACAAATCCCTCCTCTTTATTCCCTGACTTGACCCCAGGTTGGTTTGTGCCTTTTACTGGCTGTGGACAGAAGCTCAGAGATTTACCTATTTCCTGCCCACTCCTGTGCTCTGAGCATTTTCAGTCAATCTAAAATAATTCCTCTCTTAATGCTCAAATAGGACCTAGAGAAATAACTGCATTTGAGCTTGGAGTGTAGCTCAGTGGGAGAGTGTTTGCTTTGCATGCATGACACCTTGTTTGATTCCCCAGTACTGCAAAAGATGATAATAAAATAAACAACAGCCTTCCTTCTCCCTTATTTATAATCTTCCAATGGCTCTCACTGCAATCAGAATAAAATCCAAAACCCTGGGCCAGGGATTTAGCTCAGTGGTTCTGGCACCTGCCTCACAAGCTCAAGGTCCTGAGTGCGATCCCTGGTACCAAAAAACCAAAAAAAAAAAAAAAAAAAAAAAAAAAAAAAAAATCCAAAACCCTCACCATGGCTTACAAGGCCCTACATGGTATTTCCCCACCCCTGCCACCTCTTCGTCCTCAACTTCTACCAGCTGCCCACTTAAATGACCCAAGTTGAATAGCCAACATAAAGTAGCTCTCATCATTTACCATGTCACCCTGATTTGTGCTCATTTTAGCTCTTAACCTTATCTGGTGTTTTCCACTTGGATGTTTATTGTTTGTCTCTTCACCCCCCCCCCATACACAAACACTGATAACACATAGCTTCTGTCTAGCTCCTCACTATATCCCCAGGGCCTGAACAGTGCTTGGCTGACAATAAATGGATGGGCCGCCAGTCCCAGGAGTAATCTGGGCTGGAGACATAAATTGGAGTCACGTGATAGAGGTGGTGACTAAAGCCAGGGGAGTGGGTGTGATCACCCAGGGAGAGGGTCTACTACAAGGGGGGGGGCGGCGCACAGCAGAGCATCTAATAGCAGTAGGAAGGAGGATGCACCTGCAAAAACAACAGAGAAGATGAAGGAAAAACATCAAGTGTTAAGTCATGGGAGCCAAGAGAAGAGTGTCTGGAGGGAAGGCAAAGTCAACAGTGTAGGCTGCTGAGGGAAATTTCAAGCTGGCCTTGGGCAGACACCTGCACTCATGGGCCTCAGGTGGGAACTGTTTGTGCCGTGAGAGGGACCACTCGGGTCTGGATCTGCAAGCTCTAAGAATCTGTTATTTCTGTTCATATTCACATCACCACGCCAAAAAGAACAGTCACCCATCTGTCGCCTAGGAGAGAAGGGACACGGAGTGGCCTCTCCCTCATTACTTATCCACTGGGCAGCCGACCAGCTCTCAGGCAGCCCCTCTGTATATATGGCCCTATACCAGCTGGGGACCAGTGGAGGCCCCAGGTCCTGCCACCCATGTCCAGCTGGCCTTGTCCCCAACCTCCAACAGCCCCCTCCAGCTCCTGGCATCCTGGATACCTCCATGACAAAGCCCACCTCCTTCTACTCATAGGCTCAAAGGCTGAAGAAGACCCAGCTACTTAAAGGGCCTTACTTGCTGCTGTGATAAAGGGTCCCTCAATATCCTTGCAAGGAGGGGTGAGACCACAGCCAGGGTGGTCCAGAGCAAAACACAGAAAAAAAAAAAATCCAAAACCCTCACCATGGCTTACAAGGCCCTACATGGTATTTCCCCACAATGTATGCCCCACTGGAAAACCCTGGAAGGTGATTCCAAGGGAGAGATCAGATGTGTTGCTCCTAGTAATCAGATCAGTGATGGCCACCAAGGACTGAGCTCTCCTCTGGGGCCAGCTCATGCCGAGCACTGATCCCATGTGAGGTACACAGCAAACTTGTGGGGTAGAAGGTGTTATCCTTTCATATGGGAGGAAGTCAAGGCTCAGAGAGGTTGAGGTATTGCCAGAAATCACATAGGCAGTTAAGTAGCCATGGCCAGTTGGCTAAGACAGCCAGACAGTCTTAACAATGATCCTTGAACTTCCCCAGACCTAGTGAAGCAGGGGATTTTTTTTTTTTTTTTTTGTACCGGGGATCGAACTCGGGTCCTTGCGCTTGTGCAGCAGGCGGGAAAACCACTGAGCTAAATCCCCGGCCCCGAGGCAGAGGATTTTAGTCTTATAGTCTCCTACAACCACTGTGACCTTGGGCAAGATTTATTCTTCACTCTCCCCAACTGCAATAAAGCAGATGTCTTAATACCCTTCCAGTTCCAAAATTATGCGATGAACTAGGATTTGAACAGAACTTTACAATTTTTTAAAAGGCATCCATCGGACATCTCATTCACTCTTATGAATCCAAAGGCAGAAGTAACCCCTCTGTTTGGTAGGTGTGCACATCGAGGCTCGGAGAGATGTAGTGACCTGCCCAAGGTCACAAGCAAGGCAGGGAAGCTGGAGCTCCACACTGGACTCTCAAGTCCGCTCCAGAAAGGGCGTCCCTGCGGCGGCGCCGAACCCAGACCTGGCCGGCAGGGGGCAGCGACAGGCTTCCCTCGGCCGCGAGGGAGCCATCTGGGGGCGTTGCAGCCCTGGCCGGGGGTCGAATCTTCCTCCCTCCCACCTCTTGCTGGGGCGCAGGGCACCCAGAACACGCGCCCGGGACCCGCAGCAGTCCCCGGGGACTGTCTCGGATCACCCCCTCAGTCCCAAGGCTCCTCTCGGGCTGGGCTGGTCTCCCGGGACCCCGAGCCCGTCGCTCCCTTCCAGTCCGAAGGCGCAGAAAAGCAGGACGCCCGGGTCACCGAGGCCAGGTGAGGGGCGCCCCCGCCCCGCGCCTTCAGTCCTGGCCCGTCTCCGCCGAGTGAGGTCGCGACGCGCCCCCTCCCCGGGCGGCACGCGGCTCCGAGCGCTTACCCGCTTCCCGGTGGGCAGGTGCGAACAGACGCCCGGCTGGCACCCACGATCCACCTTTCTGGCCTCCGATCCTGCTTCCTGGTCTCCACCGCGACCCCCGCGAGCTCCGGGAGCCGCTGCCCCGGGGACTCTGCCGGCCGCGCTTCGCTGTCCCACCTCCCGACGCTCCCAGCACCCTGCGGCTCGCGCTCCGCTCCCGCCTGCCCGCCGCTGCTCCGCGCTCCCCTCTCCAGCTCCTCCCTTCCAGGCTCGCTCCCCACTCGGAGGGCCCCCACCCCCACCCCGCCCTCCAGGAAGGAGCTCGGCCTTTCCACCCCGGTGCGGCTGGCCTGGGAGCTCCAAGCCCCCGCCCCAACCCCAGAGAAGCAGATGGAGGAGGTCCCCACCTGTAGGAGGACTGTGAGCTGGGTCGAGGGCAGGGTGTGTCTGGAGACCCCATCCATCCATGTCCTCTGTGTTCACTGCAAATTGATTTTTTTCTTCATTTAGTGGATATTTATCGATGTCGCTTGGGTCGGTGTGTCCTACCTAAGCCCTCGGGATAAAGAGTGACCAAAACAGACGTGGACCCCGGAGCCTACATTATATTGAAGCAGAGGCAATGTACTTAATAAGTAAACCGTGTAAAGTATAGAGATACATAGATGGTAGAGAAGGAAATAAAGCAGGGGAAGAAGAGAGTGAGGTGGGTCTCTGACTGGCGGCCAGGGGAGGGTACACTGGGAAAGGAGGCTTGAGCTCAGATAGGAGGGGAGGGAGCGACAGTCCCCATCTAGAGGTAGACAATGTCCAGCCAGCTCCTGAGGGTGGCCTCCCTGTGGGGTCAGCGGATTCTGAAGTCCAGCCCCCCTACCAGGGTTCCAGCAGGGATTGGGGGTGCTGAGATGAAAGAGCCAGCTGAGAGAGAGGACTTCGGCTCAAAGACAGAAACAGCAAGAAACTTCCAGTGAAGAGGCCCCTGGACGGGTCTTGGGTCCATGTTCTATGAGCTCCAGCAGAATTAGGCTTCTGTGTCCTTGGTGGGGTTTTGTCTACTTGGGCTTTGTGTATCTTGAAGCCTTGTTTTTTAGGAGCATCCACCATTAGATTATGTCTTCTGATGAAGTGACCCAGTGTCCCTTGTAATGTTCTGTCTTGAGGTCTTAGCTGGGGGAGGGAGAGGCCAAAGTGTGCACTGGTACCCACTCAGTTTGACATCTGGCTCACCAAAATCTCGGAAGCCCGTCCACACTCTTTCAGTGTCATCCTGTGTCCTTCCGTTGGCACAAAATTTTCTACCCACCTGACCTTCCCCTCCTTCCTCCACATCCCACCTCCAGTTTACCATTTGATGATTGGCCTGGAGCCTCCATTGCTCTCAATCTCTCTGTTTTTTGGAAGGCTGTGATCAATGATCATTAATAATGCAAAAGTTCTTTTTGTCTTAGTGCAGATCCCAGGCAAATAAATCACTGGCAAATAGTCAGGAGTTATCAGCAACCACACCTCAGCCTTCTCTACTCTACTCAGGCCTGGGCTCTTTTCCCACATAGAAAATAAGAAGATTGAACCATGGCAAATGTAGGTAGGTCCCAAAATAGCCACTGCAGCTGATGCCCTCAGGTGAACTGTCACAGAGGAGCAAAGGGGCCTGGTTATACAGCCCAGCACTGTGGCTGCAACCAGGGTTCTAATCTGAGATCTTCCTGTTGAATAGTTCATATGGCAGAGTAGATACAGACACATCCTGGGCATTTGTCCTTTAGGAAAAGATTCTGACACCCCAGAAGCAGCCCTGGTGATGAGCAAGGGAGGGGCAGGAGAGGGGCAAACCTCATGTCAGCTAACAATGTGTAAGGGTAAAAGGAGCCAAGATGGTAAATAACATGGGAGAGTTAGGTGATGGAAAAGGCTGGGCCTGCTGAGGGCATTCACTTCAGCATCTCAGCCTCTAACCTGGGCGGGCCATGCAAGTGTGGAGCACAGTCCCCGTCCCTGGGGAACTCACAGTCCACAGGAGGAAACCACGAAAAACTCAGCACAGCACAGGTGCGGAGGAACAGGAAAGACACACCCCAGCTATGGACACTGGGAAGGGCCAGCCCTGTGCTGAGCCTTGAGAAGGGAAGCGTAAGTAGGAAACAGCTAAGAAAGGGCAGGAGAAGCAGAGGAGTCCCCTGGTAGGAGGAGCTTGTGCAGAAGCGGGAGGCTAAAGAAAAAATTCAGGAATGGACACTGAAGGTCTTTAGATGGGGCTGGAGGGGGAGGAAGGGCCAGTTTATGAAGAGCCTTGAAAGCCAGATAAAAAGGGGCCAGGGAAGGGGCTGAGCAAGGGGACGAATGCCATGTTTGGACCAGGCAGACTGGCCGTTCCTGGTGCCCCGAACTCTGATAGCTATGTGGGCATCACCAGCAAGACCAGTGAAGTCCCTATCATTGCCACCACTATAAAAGATCAAAAACGTGGGGCAGTTCAATCCCCGGTACCAAAAAAAACACTTGGGGCAATTTCTGATCAGCTTCCTGTCCCCTTGGGCAACCTGCGTGACTAACTTCCTGAAACAGACTCCTAACCACACAGCTCCCCCTGCCTAAAGACCTTGGCACCTCTTGCTCCTACCTGCTGCCTCCGGAGAGGTCCCAACTCTCCCTTTCCTGGCATTCCAGAATCCTCCCAATCCATTCCCACCCAGCATTCATAGCCACCTGGCTATGTTATTCTTTCACCTGGAAAGCTCTTGTCCATAGGGACTCGTCCCTCAAAGTTCAACTCAGGATCCCTTTCCTTCTTCGCATGGAAGTGTGGTTTTCTCCTGAGAAGTGGAAGCATAGTGGGGGTTAAAAGTACAGGCTCAGCAGTTGGGCTGGGTTTGACTTTTGATTTTGCTCAGTGGCTTTGCAACTCTGGACAAGTTATCTTGGGTCTGGGAGACTCAGTTTGCTCATCTGTAGAATGATCACAATGAACATTACTTACCACAAAGGGTTATGATGAAGGCCAAATTGAAATCGCACTGTAGCTGGGACACATGTAGGACACACACAGTCCAGTGCCTGGCATACAGCAAGCCCCATGGCTGTCTCTTGTTACTGTAATTGTAATTAGATACCCACTTTCCACTTTTAGTTTGTGTCCATCTCTCCCCAAATGATGAGTTTCAGGGGGAGAGGGTTCTGACTTATTCACCTAGATTTGCCCCATGCCTAACCCTGGGGTTCATAGACTATAAGCATTCAACCAAAGACTGATGGATGAGTGGGCAGATGGATAAATGAATGGAAGAAGCCAGCCAGCCACAACTACTCCCTCTGCTCAGAGGTGGGAGCTGGGCTTGTCCTTTTCTGAAGAGTGGTGAGTGAGTCCTGTGGCAGGGGACTCATGTCTGGGGTAGGCTTGATCACTTGACAGTCTGTAGTTCGGAGTTTCTTCAGAGGGTCACTGTCCAGACAGAGGGGACATGGTGCCAGGGAGGAGCAGGGACTGCATAGGAATCAGATCCAGGGGAGGGCTTCCTGGGAAGCAGGTGCCCAGCCTCTCTTCCTTTCCTTTCCTTCCTTACCCATTGCTCAAGACCCAGCTGGGCAAGTTTGCGATCTGTTCCCATGGTAGAAATTAGCTCATGCCTTTGACCTGGGGACAGCAGAGAACGGTACAGCATAGCTCCTCACCTCTCAGCAACAAGGTAAAGCGAAGGGCAGAGAGTCCATCTCAAGGACAGGAACAGCATTTATTGAGCATTTTTTTCCCCAGCCACTATTCTCATCCTCTGGGTAACACTGTAAGGAAAGCACTATTGTGTATTTCCATTTTACAGATGCAGAAACAAACACAGAAGTTAAATGACTTTCTCTTGCAAGGGTAGTGACAGGACCTCAATTATATCAGACTCCCCGGGAATCAGATGTCCAAATATTGTGAGCACTTTCTCCTTACACATTGCTGTGGTGAGTGGTATAGAGGTAGTGAAGACAATTAAGATGTGATTTCTACTCTCATAGAATTTACAACATGAGGACAGAGGCGAGGCCTCACTTATCTTTGTATTCCCAGCGCAGGGCCTGGCAATACACTGCGTGTTGCATAAAGCACAGACTGTCAGTGCTGGAAGCTTCTGATCTTTGGAGTTCAAAGATACCAATCCTAGCTGGGTATATTGGATCATGACTGTAATCCCAGCACTTGAGAGGCCGAGGCAGGGGATTGCCGGGAGTTCAAGGCCAGCCTGGGCTACATAATGAGTTCAAGGCCAGTCTGAAGTACATACCGAGACCCCATCTCAAAAAAAAAAAAAAAAAGAAGGATACCCATCCCATTAATTTACAGATGGGGAAACTAACACTGGAAGAAGGAGTAAATTGGTATGGAATGGATAGGAGTTTGGGCTCTGGAACCAAACCTCCTGATTTAGTTCTCAGCTTTACCACTTCCCTGATATGGAGCTGTGAATTGGTCACTTACCCTCTCTGAGTCTGTTTCCTTGCCTGAAAAAGAGAGATAAAGTTGTGGGAAATGAGATTATCCCTGAATGAGGTTTAGCATAACAGCACACAATCCCACTGCCTGTTTGCTCTGATTATTATTAACCAGCCTCAGTGAGTCAGTAGCAGATCTGAACAGATTTGGGGCTTTCTGATTCCCTGTCAAGTGCCCTTCCCAGCTTTCTATGGTTCCTGTGTTCACTGGAGTGCAGTCAGGGAGAATGGGGGTCACCGAGGAGGGGTGGTGCATGTGATCGGTTGCTTGCTGCCATAGGGGACAAATGCCCACTTGGTCCCTGAGCCCGTATCTCAGCGCCTCCACCACGCCTTCTTCCCATCTTTGAAGCCTCTCCTTCTCTCCCTGGTGGACTTGAGTTCAGAGACTTACTGCTGGCTGGAAGACATGCTGAGACTCCTGATAACATGCCCTCACCTCCCATTGTAATTTCCTCTGGGCCAGAAGGGAGGGGCGAGCCAGACTGTAGCCAGCAGGAAATTCCCAGGGAGCAGTGAGGGACAAACTCAGAGGGCAGTCAGCGATGCTATCTCCAGCTTGAATCTCAGCCTCCTCTGAGCCAGCAAGAGACTCAGCCAGCCACAGGAGAGGATTTTCTGTTTGTTTTCCTCTGGCTCCACTTCTAATGAGAGAATTTAATTAAGAGCCTGATTGCTTTGCCTGGGGAATAGAAATCTGAGGGGACAGCAGGGCTGGATAGCTACGAGGGAGGAAGGGAGGGAGGGA